CGAGAAACGCCATGAGGAGGCCACGTGCGAACCTTACTCCACCACCCTACGATCTCTAAGGGGGGGGATCACTTCGCTCGGGAGGCCCCGAAAGAAGTGAGTTTCACCTCCCCCAATTGGAATTAAGCCAGGCGCGTCCTTCTACAGGAGGAATATTCAAACGAAATCGAAACTTGTATGGGGACGATTTTTTTGAGTATTGGGACGATTTGTTTGAACATGTTTTAATGATTTCGATGATTCTTTCAGTATTTCCCAGCCATCCTGTGGTGTTGGGTCTTCATTTCGAAGAGAAGGCGCCGCGCGGTCTGCTCCTCCCGCCTCCTTCATCCTCCCCCTCCTCCTTCCTCCTTGCGCTTCGCCCACCCAGTACAGCGCTTCGTGGCTCCATAGGGAGCTCCACCGAAGGCCCCCCAGTGGCACCGCCCGCATGCGTCATCCGCCACCCATTTCGGCACACCCATCACACGCTTCGTGGCCCCGTAGGGAGCTCCACCGAAGGCTCCAGTGGCACCGCTCGCATGCGTCATCCCCCACCCAGTGCAGCGTTTCGTGGCCCCATGGGGAGCTCCACCGAAGGCCCCAGCGGCACCGCCCGCATGCGTCAGCCACACCCATTTCGGCACACCCATCACACACTTCGTGGCCCCGTAGGGAGCTCCACTGAAGGACCATTGGCACCGCCCGCATGCATCATCCCCCACCCAGTACAGCGTTTCGTGGCCCCATAGGGAGCTCCACCGAAAGTTGGAAGGCACCGCCCGCATGCGTCACCCCCACCCAGTACAGCGCTTCGTGGCCCCGTAGGGAGCTCCATCGAAGGCCACAGAGGCACCGCCCGCATGCGTCACCCACACCCATCTCGGCACACCCCTCACACGTTTCGTGGCCCCATACGGAGCTCCACCGAAGGCCCCAGTGGCACCGCCCGCATGCGTCCGTCACCCACACCCATTACAGCGTTTCGTGGCCCCATAGGGAACTACTCCGAAGGCCACAGTGACACCGCCCGCATGCGTCATCCCCAGCCCAGTACAGTACAGCGCTTCGTGGCCCTACAGAGAGCTCCACCGACGGCCGCAGTGGCACCGCTCGCATGCGTCACCCCCACCCAGTACAGCGCTTCGTGGCCCCATGGGGAGCTCCACCGACGGTCCCAGCGGCACCGCCCGCATGCGTCACCCCCACCCAGTGCGGCGTTTCGTGGCCCCATAGGGAGCTCCACCGAAGGCCCCAGTGGCACCGCCCGCATGCGTTACCACCCACCCAGTACAGCGCTTCGTGGCCCCATGGGGAGCTCCACCGAAGGCCCCAGTGACACCGCCCGCATGCGTCATCCCCGGTACAGCGTTTTGTGGCCCCATAGGGAGCTCCACCGAAGACCCCAGCGGCACCGCCCGCATGTGTCACCCCCACCCAGTACAGCGCTTTGTGGCCCCATTGGGAGCTCGACCGAAGGCCCCAGTAGCACCACCCGCAGGCGTCACCACCCACCCAGTACAGCGCTTCGTGGCCCCATAGGGAGCTCCACCGAAGGCCCCAGTGGCACCGCCCGCATGCGTCACCCCCACCCAGTGCAGCGTTTCGTGGCCCCATAGGTGGCCCCATAGGGAGCTCCACCGAAGGTTCCAGTGGCACCGCCTGCATGCGTCACCCCGCACCCAGTGCAGCGAGTTCCACCGAAGGCCCCAGTGGCACCGCCCGCATGCGTCACCCCCACCCAGTACAGCGCTTCGTGGCACCATAGGGAGCTCCACCGAAGACCCCAGCGGCACCGCCCGCATGTGTCACCCCCACCCAGTACAGCGCTTTGTGGCCCCGTAGGGAGCTCGACCGAAGGCCCCAGTAGCATCACCCGCAGGCGTCACCCCCACCCAGTACAGCGTTTCGTGGCCCCATACGGAGCTCCACCGAAGGCCCCAATGGCACCGCTCGCATGCGTCCCCCCGACCCAGTACAGCGATTCGTGGCCCCATAGGGCGCTCAACGGGAGGCCCCAGTGGATGCACTCGCATGCGCTACCCCCGCCTAGTGCAGCTTTTCGTGGCCCCATAGGGAGCTCCAACGAAGGCCCCATTTGCGGTGCTCGCATACGTTCCCCACACCCAGCAAAGTGCTTCGTGGCCTCATGGGGAGCTGCACCGAGGGCCCCGGTGACTGTACTCGCATGCGTTTCCCCATCCATTACATTGTTTCGTTGCCCCATAGGGAGCTCCACCGAAGGCCCCAGTGGCGGCCCCGCCACACTGCGGCGCACCCCTCACACTTCCCCGTAGCGCGGTCCCCCTAATGCACCAGTAGCAGCGCCTATATGGGGGCCCCGCCCCACATCGGCACACCCTTCGCATGCTTCATGGCCCCGCGAGGAGATCCCCCGAAGGCGATACCCGCAACGACGGTATTCACAACTGCATATGGTTGGGTTCTTCGCCAGGATAATTTTTATGGTTCGTCCAAAATCCGCCTGTAGGAGGACATGCCCGACCTAACATTAGAAATCGTGAGGTGGTGGGGTAATTACAGTGGGGACGCGCATCAAGAAACCGAATGCTTTTGGTCAGGGTGCCCTGGGCATCTTCGCTCCGCGCGCTGCGCGGTGACTTCAGCGGCCGTGGAAGGGGCTGCTGCGTTCATGGTGCTTGGTGTTCCCTCCACTTGCTCCTCGCGCCTGTGGGTTTTCAGGGCTGGACTTCTTGTGAGGGTTCCTTGTGGCCGCGTCCTCACTGTAGGGTTCGCACGCGGCCTCCTGGCCGTCTCTGCGGCCCGGCGCTGCCACTCGAGTGTCCACGGCATGCGGGGGCCAGGCTTGCGGCCCCGGACTACGCCTGCCGCCACCAGTGCGGCCGCCGCCACCAGTCCTGCGGGCACGCCTGCAGGCGTCCTTGCCACTACGAGTGCCCGCCGTGCGAGATCCGCGTCGACGACGTCTTCGAGGACTCGCAGAAAAAACGACACCATCAGCATAAACTTTTGGCGCTCCGCGCGGATGTCTTGGATCCGCGCTGGGCCCACCCCCCCAGCGGCGCCTCTGGCGCCGCTCCTGGCGCGCTCCGCGCGCCAGGGAGGGGGTCCAGCGCAGATCCACGAAATCCACGCGGAGCGCCAAAAGGTTATGCTTGTGGCGTTCTTTCTTCTTCTAAGGCGTGCGGCCACGAAATTCAGCGCCCTTGTGGGCAGCCTCTTCACTTGCTTCGCTGCCAGCAGCGAGTAGACTTCAAGTGCCTGCGCGGCCACGAGGTCCACAGGCTCTGCTCCGAGCCGGAGCCGCCTTGCCCAGTGCAGGTCGGGAGCCTTGAGACGGGGGTCAATGCAGACGGGGGTCAGCCAGGGCACCGGATCCTGCAGGATTTTGCGAAGACCCCCTTTGGCTGACCCAGGTTAGCGAGTCGCTCGTGGCCGCGAGGCGGCCGCGCCTTTTGGCTGACCCAGGTTTGCGAAGACCTGCGTTGCAGTTTTTTGTTCTGTTTTGCAATTTCTTGGTTTCCTGCTGACCCGGGTCTGGATTGACCCGGGTCAGAAGATCCCTGAGCAGGTCTCGGGCGGTTGGCAATGGGGGGTTTAGGGAGGTGAAGATCACTTGCCGAACTTGAACTGTGTCAACTCCACTGCTCGCGCAATCATCCCACCCACCCACCCGCAACTTGGTTTGCAAAACCCATGCGGGACCGAGCACAGATATCGCTCCGTGGTCGTCTTGGAGCCCTCGGGGGCGTCTCAAGAGTCTTAAGAGCGCCCCAAGAAGGCCGGAGAAGCAAGACGGCCGACGACGACGACGACGACGACGACGGCGGCGACGACGACGACGCCGACTTCGACGACGACGAAGACGACGACGCCGACGCCGACGACGACGAAGACGACGACGACGTCGCCAACGAAGACGACGACGAGGGAGGAGGGAGGACGACGACGGCGACAACGACGACAACGACGACAACGAGGTAGGAGGGAGGACGGCGACGACGCGAACGACGAAGAAGGAGGAAGGACGGCGACGCCGACGACGACAACGACGAGGGAAGAGGGAAGACGACGACGAGACGACGACGACAACGACGACGACGACGGCGACGAAATAGGAGGGACGACGACGAGACGCCGACGACGACGACGACGACGACGACGAGGGAGGAGGAGGAAGGACGACCACGGCGACAACGACGACGGAAACGACCACGACGCCAAAGAGGACAACGACGACGAACACGAGGAAAGACACAGGACGACGTAATTAGGCGACGACGACGACGACGCGGGAGGAGGGAGGACGGCGACGACGACGACGACGACGACGACGACGACGCCTTAAGAGCGCGCGCACGCTTTTGTTGAAAATCCGTGCTGCGAAACCTTGTGTTTTTGTGTGTGTTTTTTGGGCGCGCGATTTTGAAATCCTTCCGAAACCGATGGGTTTTGAAGGATTTCGGCGTACGCGCGACACGACGCGCGCGTCTGCACTTCGTCCCATTTTTTGAGGAGGATTCTCGCGACGGCAGACGCGCAAGGGCGTTCGACAGATTTCGACATGCGCGCGCGACGCCCGTTTGGTAGCATGTTGTGAAAATCTTGAAAAACCAATGGTTTTCTTAAGATTTCGCAAGAGCTCGCGCGTAAGCTTTTTTAGCAAATCAGTGTTACGAAACCCTGTGCTTTTGTATGTTTTTTTGGAACCTCGATTGCGAAATCCTTCCGGCACCGAAGGTTTTTGAAGGATTTCGGCATGCGCGCGCGACGACGCGCGCGTGTGCACTTCGTCCCATTGTCTGCAAGGGCTTCGTGAACCAGTGTTATGCTAGAACAAAAAATGTCACCGCATAGTGTTTTTTACCAGGGACCCTCAGGGGGGGGGATACCGGTTGGCCTGGGACATTGTGATTTCATTATGAGATCACAATTCGGATGGACATGTGGTCAGAATCGTATGTGATTTACATACCCGAAAGGGGGGGCGATAACGCCGGGGCGGGGGGGAGAGTCTATTCTCTTTTTTTAGAGAGGAGAATGCAGGGCCCGGAAGGGGCACTTTAAAGGCGCCTTTTGGAGCCAGCAGGGGCCCGACAGGGGCCATGGAGTGCCCCGGTCGGGCTCTTCTCTTCACCCCCCATGTATGTAGGTCACCCTCCATTTCCATCCGCCGGAAGGTCGATGTGACGTGTGACGATTGCGGCGCTGATGGGGTGGCCATGTGCGGCGCAGACCCTGCCGAGCACCGCTGCATGCAGCCTTGCCAGCGGAAGATGCGCTGCGGGCACCTCTGCACGGGGAAGTGCGGAGAGCCGTGCAACAGGTACCTGGAAGACTGCAGGATTTGCTCCGAGATTCGGCGCGTCGCAGCTGAAGAGCGCCGGGCGGAGTTCCAGGATGAGATCAAGAGACTTACGCGGGAGGACATGTTCAGCATCAATATGGCTTCGGACACTGACCACGACAGGGTGGAGCACCTTTTGCGCTCTTACTTCTTGGCCGCGTGCCACAAGATCGAGAAGGTGCAGGTTGAGAAGATTATCTCTACAGTGAATCGGCGTCGGCTGCTCCTGGCATCGCAGGCTTGTGTTGCACCTGGCGATTTTGAATATCGTGCGTTGGTCTTGACCTCGGACGAGGAGTGCCGTCGCGTAGCGCAGGACTCAGCAGATAATGAATAATTCGTGCCTTGCCTACCAAATTATCCCAGCTTGCACCAAGCACACCCTGCCCCATCTACGGGGCCAGTTTGGTAAGGATGTGAGGTTAAGAAACGTAGGCCAGAACGTAACGACACAGGAGGGCTGGATGACTGGGTCACCCAGGGCCCAGACACTCGTTTGTTCGATCCCAGTTTCCATTGGAACAAGATAGAGGCAAGCGAGTCACACGTCCTGCGTGTCTGAAGGGATTCGCTCTCTGCCGCCAGACCCCCCTCTGATTGCTTGCCTGGACACACTTGATCAGTAGTTTGGTTGGTTGTCGTGTCGGTTAGCTGGCTGGCAACTCTCAGAAGCCGGGCCAGGCTGGCAAACCCGTGGCTGTTAAAACGGAGCTCCGGGAAATTGATGTTCCTTTCCGGGAAGCAGCCCGTTTACTCTTTTGTGCGTTGAGGTGTATTTCGGGAATTTGTCTTTCTGCTCCGGGAAGACCGTTTTAGCAGCTACGGATTTGCCAGCCCTCGCCCAGCTTCCGAAACTCGGCGGATTAGTCGAGGGTTGGCAATTTGTTTGGGCTGTTTGCTGGCTGGCCGGTTGGCTGCGCGCATCTGCACTTGTTGATTAGGGCTGGTGACCCCAGGAGCTCGCGCTTCAGGAATTCTTTAGTAACCCGTGGTAACCCCTGGTAACCCCAGGAGCTGGTAACCCTTGGTAACGCCTGAGGGCTGGTAACCCCTGGTAGCCCCAGGAACCCAGAGATTGCGCTTCCACTGTAATTTTCCCGGGCTCGCGGCTTCGGGAAGGAATCGCCGTTCTCTGCTCCGGGGAGGGCGGCGCTTTTGGGGCAGCTTCCGTGGAGCGGTTCGCGGCCTCGGGAGAGCGAGCGCACCGCAATTTACCAGACGCTGTGGCCTCGGGAGAGCGCACTAGCTGTAATTCACCAGAGGGCGTCCCCCCCCCCTCCACCCCTAATTAGGTGCACGCGCGCCTGAGCTGGGCACGGCGCCGCCGAGGCGCTTGACCGCTTGCTCTGTGCGCGCGTCGCAAGCGCGAGCGCCCTGCCATTTGTAGTGGGCTGTGGCTCCTGGAGCGCGGATGCACCGTGGCACACAAGGCACAGTGCAGTGCCCCCCGGGAAGCAGCTCCGGACAAAACATGCTCTTTCTTGAGCTTTCCTGGGTTTTAACGAGCAGCAAGAAGCTTAAACTTCCCGAGCTTTCCTGAGCGTTAAACAAGCAGCAAGAAGCTCTGGCGAACCTGAGCTTTGATTCGCGAGTGCTGCTTGGGTCTGTGGCTTCGGGAGCACGGGCCGAGTGCGCCTGCGGAGCCGGGCCGTGGCCCCCGAGAGACGCGAGCTGCGAGAGGCGGTGGCCTCGGGGGCGCGAACTCGCAGTGCTGCAGGAGGGGGTCGTGGCCGCGGGATCGCGAGTCCCTTTTGTGATCTACAAAGGCGATCGGCATCGCTTGACCGATCCCCGTCCCCCTGCCCGCCCCTTTCGAGACCCCCGCCAGATTGCCGCCCCAGTTGGGGACGCACCCTCGAAACCCGAAGGGGGCGACCTGTATCCCCATCCGGAGGGGGTGACCCGGCCACTGGGGCCCAGGCCGCGCCGCTGGGGACGGGGACCGGTTAAACGATGCTCAAATGAGTGCGGCCTCGGGAGCGCGAGTCTGCTATGGTGAATAGACAGTTGTGGTTTCGGCGGGTCCCATGGCCCCCCCTTTCTGGGCATCTGAGGATGTGGCTCCGAGAGGGAATCGGGTTTTTTTCGGCCCCTTCCCGTCGCGCGGACTTCCATCAGTGCGACGTTGGAACTAGAAAATGTAACATCTATAATTACAGTAGGGACCCATGCCAAGAAACACCCTGGTTGCCTCCCGGGTGCCCTGGGTTTGTTGGTTTCGATGGTTTTGCCACGGAAAGCGTGACGTTCCCACACCAAAAATCGGTGGACGCCCTGGGGTCTCAGGGTTGGGTTTTTGGTTGAAGGTTTCTTGTGGGCTGGCCTTCACTGTACAAGTTGGGAACTGGAGCTGTTGCAGAGAGAAACACTGCCGAGCCTTTGCAGCCTGCTGGCCCCCCTCCGCGGGGCCGGCGGGTTCTCAGAATTGTACCCCTTCGTGTGCTCGTGTCACTGCCAGCCTGCATTGCGGTGTCACATTGGGATTTGTTTTGATCTCCGGAGGATGGCTTCGTCGACACAGTCCCCATGTGGCGCAAGGCCCTGCAAGACGCGGCGTCGCGCAGGAGTGGTTATGTGAGCGTACTGGTGTGCCAGGTGCAGCTAGGCCGCGCTACGGGTTGCAAAGTGTTCCCGTTCTGTTCCTCCTCGCGTGAGTGTCCTCTGCAAGACGAAAGGCCATGCAATATCCTCCAAATAGATGCAAGCAGGCAGTCCTGCAAGCAAGCTTGACATCGAAAACCCGACGTAGTCGACACGCTCGGTGTGTTTTTTATGCTCGATTGTTCGCCCGTTTGGCTGCGAGCTTGCAGAATTGTTTGCATGCCTGGATGCTTGCTGCAGTTGCATTTGCATACATGCTTGCAGGGATGCTTCGAAGGAGGAGGAGGAGGAGGAGGAGTGCGAGAAGGCTTGGAGGGATGTGAAGGGAGGACGAGGCCTTGAGACAAGTCTCGGAGGAAAGAGGTTGGAGGACAATAAGCAAGAGCAGGAGGAGGGATCGCAGATGTGGGAGAGGCTTGGAGGCAGGCATGGTGGGGGTGGAGGGCGTGGTGGGGGTGGAGGGAGAAAGTGGCTCGAACATGATCTTGGAGAAAGGAGGGGGTGGAGGACGGACGAGTAAGGAAACGAGGCTTGGAGGAAGGAGGCTGCTTGGAGGGAAGCTTGGAGGAGGGGGAGGAGGAGGCTTCGAGGGAGAAGGTTTGGAAGCAGGCGGATGGAGTAAGAGGTCCGTGAATGGGCTTCGAGGGCGGCTTGGAGGAGGTAAGAGGAGAGATCAGGAGGCCTGGAGGAAGGTCCCGAGGGATCACGGAGGAGGAGGAGGAGGTTTGCAGAGATGCTACGATGCGGTCAGGGAGGCTTGGAGGAGGAGGAGGAGGACGACGACGAGGACGAGGACGAGGACAAGGACGAGGAGGAAGACTTGGAGGGAGGAGCAGGGGGGAGTAGGCTTGGAGGGAGGCTCAGAGAAGAGGCTTGGATGGAAGAGGAGGAAAAGCAGGATTGATGGTCATGGTGATGACAGGAATGGTGGTGATGGTGGTGATGATGGTAATGGTCATGTAGTGGTGGTCATGTAGTGGTGATGATGATGATGATGATGATGATGATGATGATGATGATGATGATGACAATGATGACGATGACGATGACGATGACGATGATGCTGATGATGAGGAGAATGAGGATGAGGATGAGGATGAGGATGAGGATGAGGATGAGGACGAGGATGAGGATGAGGATGAGGATGATAATGAGGATGAGGATGAGGATGAGGACGAGCATGAGGATGAGGATGAAGTTGATGATATGATGAGGATGATGATGATGATGATGTTGCTGCTGCTGCTGCTGATGATGATGATGATGATGATGATGATGATGATGATGATGATGATGATGATGATGATGACGATGGTGATGGTGGTGATGGCTATGGTAAGGCCATGGTGATGAGGGCGACGGCGAGGGAAACAGGCTTGCTTGCTTGACTGCAGTCGCGATGTGCCGCTTCCATGTTGCCAGCACGCTGGAACGAGGAAATTGCTTTGTTCGGCTGCCGGCATGCTGGAATCAGGAGGCTGCCTGGTTTGGGCGGGGCTCGGGGTTGATTGGGGCCCGTCTCGAGGCCATCCCTGAGGGTCCTTGTAGGTTCAGGCGTGAGGAAGTGGGGCTTCCTCCTCCTCCTCCTCCTCCTCCTCCTCCTTCGTTCCTTCTGCAGGGTTCCGGATGCCAAGACTGCGGCCGCATTGCTGCTCCACCCTTCTCTGCCTGAGCCGACGCTGGTAAGATCCCGCCAGCTGGAGCGGCCCCTGAGAGACTCGACCCCCTGCCAGCAGCCAGAGCTTGATGGGATCTTCGAGGCGGCGTCTGCGCAACCGGTGCCGCGTGGCCCGAGCTGTGGTCGGAGGGTCGAGGTCAACTGGGGGTGTCCCCAACGGGAGGAATTGTGATCGTTTTTTTACTCGTTGTTTTGCCGATCGGCGCGGGGCTCTCGCACCACTCCCCCTTGCCCCCCCCCCGTGGAGCAGATCTCGGCTCTTTTGGGCGCCTGTTTCGAGCAGGTGGAGTCTCCCCCATAGGATACACGGTTCCAAACGGTGCGCCGTGGGCGCCGGGTGCGCCGTGTGCGCCTGGTGTGCCGGGTGCGCCAGGTGCATGGGCTTGGTGCGCTGGGTGTGCCAGGTGCGCTGGGTGCACCGGGTGCGCCGGGTGTGCTGGGTGGACCAGGTGCGTTGGGTGGCTGCGCTGGGTGTGCCCGGTGTGCCAGGTGCACAGGGCGTGCCGAGTGTGCCGGGTGCGCTGGGTGCGCTGGGTTTGCCGGGTGTGCCAGGTGCGCCGCGGTTGTATGGGTTTGCTGGGCGTGCTTGGTGTGCAGGGTGTGCCGTGTGCGCCGGGTTCGCCGGGAGTGCAGAGTTTGCCCCGCACAGGATAATTTGTTTTGCGCGACGCACACGCCGTCCAACTTGTTATTGCAAAATATAGCTTGAAATTTATAAGCGAGTACGCGAGCATTGTATTGCTTGCAAATGACGCTGGGGAGGGGGTCGAGCCCGGTTTGGCTGGGATGAGGTGCGTTTGAACAGCGGGGCAGAATCAATGTAAGGCAATTAATTTCTGCTCGCAGTGAGTTGTCCACTCCACTGCTCGCGCAAACATCCCACCCACCCACCCGCAACTTGGCTTGCAAAATCTCTTAAGACCGTGACGGTGGGTACCAAATGGCACTTGGCAACGACAGCGACGCCGACGACGACAGCGACAACGACGACGACGACGCCGCCGACAACGACTACGACGACACCGACGACGTCTCCAACGACTTCGACGACGCCGACAACGACGACGACGACGACACCGACGACGACGACGCCGACGACGACGACGATGACAACGATGACGACGATGACGACGACGACGACGACGACAACGACGACACCGACGACGACGACGTCAACGACGCCGACGACGAAGACGACGGCGGCGACAACGACGACACCGACGACGACGCCGACGCCGACGACGACGACGACGACGACGACGACGACGACGACGAAGACGACGACGACGTCGCCAACGAAGACGACGACGAGGGAGGAGGGAGGACGACGACGGCGACAACGACGACAACGACGAGGGAGGACGGAGGACGGCGACGACGCAAACGACGAAGAAGGAGGAAGGACGGCGACGCCGACGACGACAACGACGAGGGAAGAAGAAGAAGATGACGACGGCAACGACGACGACGACGACGACGACGACGGCGACGAAATAGGAGGGACGACGACGAGACGCCGACGACGAGACGCCGACGACGGACGACGACGACGACGACGACGACGACGAGGGAGGAGGAGGAAAGACGACCACGGCGACAACGACGACGGAAACGACCACGACGCCAAAGAGGACGACGACGACGAACACGAGGAAAGACAGAGGACGACGACGACGCAAGAGCGCGCGCACGCTTTTGTTGAAAATCCATGTTGCGAAACCTTGTGTTGTTGTAGGTTTTTTGGACACACGATTTTGAAATCCTTCCGAAACCGATGGGTTTTGAAGGTTTCCGGCCTACGCGCGCGACGACGCGCGCGTTTGCACTTCGTCCCGTTTTTTGCACAGGATTCTCGCGACGGCACACGCGCAAGGGCGTTCGACAAATTTCGACATGGGCGCGCGCGAAGCCCGTTTAATAGCATTTTGCGAAAATCTTGAAAAACCGATGGTTTTCTCAAGATTTCGCAAGAGCTCGCGCGGAAGCTTTTTTAGCAAATCAGTGTTGCGAAACCCTGCGTTTTTGTATGTTTTTTGGGAACTCGATTGCGAAAATCTTCCGGCACCGAAGGTTTTTGAAGGATTTTGGCAGGCGCGCGCGACGACGCGCGCGTGTGCACTTCGTCCCGTTTGTTGCGAGGGATTCGTGAACAAGTGTTATGCTAGAACAACAAATGTCACCGCATAGTGTTTTTTACAAGGCAACCTCAGGGGGGGGGGATACCGGCCCCCTCGGGATAGTGTAAATTCATATTTAGGATGGACATGTGGTCAGAATCGTATATGATTTACATACCCGAAAGGGGTACCGATAACGCCGGGGGGGGGCGGTAGATCATAGTCTGTTGTTAGAAAGGGGAACTAACGTGTTGCAATCCATCCGCGCGGTGCAATCTATATGACGCAGTCTGCGTGGTGCAATATTTGCTGTGTAATGAACCAATGCTCACTCGTGAGTTGTCAACTCCACTGCTCGCGCAATCATCCCACCCATCAACCCGCAACTTGGTTTGCAAAACCCATGCGGCGGCGATTGTGATGCTTGCCTGGCGCTGGCCAGTGCATCTCCGCGGCCGCGCTATCGCGCGCAGGCTCGCGCGCAGAGCGGCCAGCTATTCTGGCGCGACCGACGCGGCCGCGGTGGCGTTGACCGCTGGGGGCTGTCCAGCGCGTCTCACAAGCCGCGATGCCGCGCGGGCATTCCAGTGCGAATCGGGGATTCGGGCGGGCGCGGTACCATTGCGACGTCGACAACGGCAGATACGATGATGATTGCAGCGATACTGGCGACGTCGATGATGACGGCAAGTGACGGTGCCGATGCTGAACACGCCGATCAAGATGATGGTGCCCACGCGTGGGTGATGAATGTTCCTGATGGATCTCGACATGCGCGCGGCCGACGCGCGCGATTGGCCCGCATGGTATTTTTTGTCAGGGATCGCGCCCGCCCCCTCCAACACGCGCGCGCGGGCGTTCGAGTGATTTCGACGCGCACGCGCGAGAGGCCCGTTCGGTCGCATTTGGTGAACATGTTAGGGAATGTATGGTTGCACGAAAAATTCGCAAAAGTGTGCGCGCAGATTTTTTGAAGACTGATGATGCAAATCCGCGCGTTTTTGTTTAAACTTGTTTTTTTGGCACCGTATTTCACGAAGGCGAATGCTTTCGAAGGATTTCGGCATGTGCGAGCGACGACGCGCGCGTGCGCGAACGACGACGCGCGCGTGGGCACGTCGCCACATGTTCCCTAAGCTTCTTGTGCTGGGTTCTCGTTTTGAATAGAGCACTGCGGTCGCACGCCCTCCTTTATTTCCGCTCCCGTCT